TGTTATATACTACGCTATTTTCTATAATATTTACTTTTTATGTTCCTTTATTTCTTCTTTTGTGTGTGTATATCCTTCTTATAGGTTTCTGGATGTTCGAAATGAGTACAGAGCATCAATAAAAAAAAAGAAAAAAAGAAAAGAACAGAGCGTAATACAACAAAATTTTCTGTCCCCTTTTTTTATATAATTCAGTTCAACAGTTGGGGAGCATTTAGGTGGAGATTAAGGTTGCGTTTTGTTCCATGATTTCTCTTTTAGAATAAGGCAATCACAGATTTACGTGAATTCTTTTAGTTTATCTAGTTTAGGCTTTTGCTCTGTTACTAGGACTTAGCTATTGATTTGTGTTGACGGTGTTTTTTTGACAACTCGCGATTACCTCCCCGAAAACGCTCACGGTTGCACTAACCACAGGATCAAGTAATAAGCAGTAAAGTAATGTAGAAGAGACAAGGATTTTATAGTGGTTCGGCAATAATTTTGTGTCTAATCCACTTGTGCATGCACTACTTTCTCAGATGTTTACAAGTTCTCTCTGTAATATCAATGGTGTCTAACCCCTTTCTGGGTTTCTTTTGTTCTATTTATAGGCCTCTACCCGGATTACATATTCCCGGCTCCCAAGGAGGAAGCCATCGTCTGTTCTCGATCCTCGTGAAGGTAGGTAAGTTTTCATGATGACTTTTCCTGGAAACGCGGCTGATCCTCTCAACCTGCCGCCTGACTTCCTGACTTCTGCAGTAGCAGTCGGATCAGTACTTCCCTCCTCGGGTTGACATGACTCCTGGCAAAAAGGACCGACAATGTTCCCTCGACGTTGCGGTCTCAGTATGTAGAGCCCTCGCCCGGCGCCTCTCCTCTTGCGCTATCTCTCGACGTATAGGGCACGTTTGCTATGCCTTACCCTCGATGCCAACAGCTGGTCCTCTGCGCGGGAGTCCTCGGCGTCGGTCATTCGAAGGAATGGTCGATGTCTCGACTATGGTGTAACAATTACCCCTAGACTGGAATGTCGCGGTGCGACTTTCCTGGCTGTACAGCGTCGAGGATGCAGCGTGGAAAGGGGCCTTTCTGCGGTTTAGGATTGCGGCTCGCGTGTATTGTTATCATTGCGGCTGGTCTATCGGGCAGTGGAGCAGTCACGTCGATTGTACGAACCGTCACGTCCTCGTTTCCCTAACGCCACGTGGGACGGGGGGATAAATCATCACCGCCGGATCAAGCCTTTCCTGTTGCCCTCTCCCTAGCCGTTCGATCATGCCTTCTCGGATCCACCGTCGGATGGGACCGATTCAAATTCTACGGTCGAGATCTGGAGCCCTTTGGACCCTCGAAGACCCCTTGGCTCCCTCTCTCGCGGGTATATATACCCCTTTACCTTTGCATTTCCGACTACCAAGTTTTCAAGGCACCGTTACTCTGCCAGATTTTCCCCTGAGCCATTTCCTCCGTGCATCTTCCGCGTTTGAACCGTCCATCGTTCTCAGACTCGAGCATCCTCAAACTCCGGTAAGTCTTTATTCCCCCTGTTCTTCCCCGTGGGTCCGGTCACCTCATCCGCGACCGTTGCGTCGGAATGTGTTACAGATAAAAAAGAAAAGGGAGGGGGAAAACGTCCTTGCCTGGTGCCGCCGGCCTTACGCCGACGGCGGGGCTGGCAATGTTTGACCTCCTGGGCGCCGTTGAGGCCTTCGGACTTGGCTCTGAGCCTCCGTGGCTTGCGGTGTAGTCTATCTCTCTTACCTCGTGCTTTGGACCTCTCGACCGCTAGGAGCTAACTCCCTCTTTGCCTTTCATTTTCAGAACATGTCGTCGAAGCAGGTTAGAGGTCGAGAGGTTTCCGAGCATAGGATCAGGGAAGACCCCTTGGACGTCGCTACCTCCAGCACGTCTTTGGACGGAAGCGGGGATTCCCTACTTCACCAAGTCGAGGAGTACGCTGACGTGTCTGCCTCGTCTTCCCAACAAGACGCACTCATTCTCCTTGACGACGAGGGTGTCGACCCGCAGGCCGGCTCTCCCGGGCGTCAAGGGTATAGGGCTGCATCCACGAGTACGCTTTCAGGGCTGGCCACAGACCTTGACCCGTCCAAGATCAGACCCCACGCCGCTAGAAAGGCGTTCATCGATGCAGGGATCGACCCCCTTCACTTCTACGTGATCATTCTGACCCCCCACGACAGGGCGCACAATCCTCCCCCGGTCATATGACCGTGTACCCCCGGGCACTCACCTTTGGGCTAACCTTGCCCTTTCACCCCTTCGTGAAGGCTTTCTGCGGCCTTCACAGGATCTCGCCTGCACAATTGTCACCCAATTGTTGGGTGACAATAAACTCCATGATAATATTGTGGAGGAAAATCTTGAGCCTTGACCTCAGCGTCGAGGAATTTTTGTACTGCTACTCCTTTCGGGCCTCCCCTGGGCAGAGGGGATTCTTCTACATAACTTCCCACGCTAAGTCCAAACCTCCTGTCCCACCTGTGGTCATCGGGAAGACCACCAGTGCCCACGGGTGGAAACCCCAATTCTTCTTCCTAGGGGGTAATTTTAACTCTCACCCCCTCGATGGCGATCGACCGGTGGGGACACAGACAGTATTTAGCAAATACTGTAGGTTTCTCTGCCTTTTTCCTTTCTCGCAGGCTTATGTGCAGTTGTCGAGCCTTCTGACGATGTTTCAATCTCGCAGGTGAAGAAGTCGACCGGCCGACGCTCCCAGCATCCGCGCTCGCTCGCGTCGAGAAGATACTGTTGCTTTCGCCTGACCGTCGGTGTGCCTCTGTCCTCAACACGAAAGTGAACCAACAGCTGTATGGCCTCATCGTCGATCTCCCCGCCCCACGTCGACCCGTTGCCCCTCCCGCCGATCTCCTCAGCGGTAAGTCGGGTTTTTCTCCTAACCTTTTTCCTTTAGCGAAGTCCGGGGGACGTAGTCGAGGTGTTCCTGAGTTGACTTTTCATTTTTTGCGTAGCCGTGCCATCCGAGATGAAGTACAACATCCTCGTTAAGCCGAAGAAGGGCACGACCGGTGCGGGGTCGAGTGGGACATCGAGTCAGCACACAGCCGAGGCTGCTGTCTTGCCGAGCGCCGTCAGGACCCCTAGGAAGGGGGTATTCGTGGTTGAACCCCCTCCGTCGAAGAGGCAAAAGGTGACCGAGCCGCGGGCGCCTCCTGTAGTCACGGGGACTTCCGGGAAAGCTCGGCGCCTCGATAAGAACAAAGGTGCCGAGGTCGCGGCGAACCTGGCGATCCCGCCCCCTCCCCCTGAGCCTATCCTGCTCCCGGGGTCGAAGATTGATGACCCCTTGTTCATTGTGTCCGACGTTGTCGACCTCGACCTCACTCACGCTTTGTGCCTCCCGCCCGCTTCAGCCTTCCTCTGCAGGCCATATACACCTTCTTTCACGAGGACACTTGGGATGTTTTCACCGGGGAGAGCATCCTGGACCGGCATCGCCTGACTATGAAGCGCCAAATCTCGGTAAGCCTCGACCTCGACTTCTCGAAGACCCTTTTCTTTTTGTCTGGGTTTCTTTGTCTTGACCGTATTCTCTTTCCTTTGGATTTCAGGCTCTTGAGCTTGCTCTCCAGAATTACGTAGAGCTGGAGGCCATCCTCAAGGGGGAGAAGACTCCAGTGGCGGCCATCGAGAAGGAGATCACCGCCCTTCGTGTGGTTCGAGACGAGCTCTTGACAGACTTGGATGTCGAGAAGGCAAAGGTACGGTCCCTCGAGGATAGTATTTCCACCAAAAAATCCAACAGCTACAAGGAAGACTTTCATGAGGGAAGCTCTAAGGGGGTCGAGACATACCTCTCGTCTCGGGAGTTCCCGGAGCGCCAAAAAGAGGCCACTTCAAGAGCCATCTCGGACTTCCTGTCCTCCGAGGACTTCCACCGCATGGTCGACGCCAGGCTTGATGCCTTCAAGGAGTCCCAAGAGCTCAAGGACATGATTGAGGGCCACATGCAGCAATTCAAATCCTCGACAGACTTCGAGGAGCTCGTCAACCAGAGGCTCGAGGCCTACCAGGCTTCCGCCGAGTTTGAAGAGTTTCAGATGTCCCTGATGCAGTCCGCGGGGGAACAAAGCCTCGACCGCTTTCGCCAGAAACGTCCGGACGTTGACCTATCCTTTTTGGACGAGTCCGACAGTGACGGCGTGGAGGTGGTTGAGCCGCCGCAGGGGGCCAAGCTGCCGCAGGAGGCCGAGGGTGTCGACCAGGCACGTGATGGTGAGGAGTAGGTTGCGAGCGGCGACGACAAGTAAGAAGGAAACTCTAGCCGGGGCCTTCTGTTTATATTTTTGGCTGCAACCTCCTCTTCTTCTCTTCCTCTTTTTTTTTAAGGGCCGTGAGGCCCAGACTAAATTTGATAATTTGTAACAACCATAAGGTCGAGACCAATTTTTACTTTTTATATATGCTTTTCATATAATATTCGTGCTTTTACTCACTGTTTGTGTGGATGTTGCGTATGTGCATATTCTCTTTGATTTTTTCTTAAGTGTAGGCTCGACTGCCTCTTGTGAGTAAGGAGCGTTGTGCTTTTTGTTAGGGGGCCTCATTGTCGGGCCCTAGTACCCCCTTGTCGAGGCTGAGTTTGAGAAGTCAGCCTTGGCACGTCACTGTAGACTCTTCGACGTAGATAGTGAGATGCGAGGAGCGTAGAAAAACTCGCAGTCACTCAAAGCACGGTTGGGCCAGAGCCCTACCGTCTTTGCAAGTTCGTACGGGGCTCGCACCGCCCCCTTGCTAAGAACAAGGCTTTGGACTTGTCTTCGGCGCATCGTCATCATTGTAGCGACGACTTTAGTCGACGTATCGACAATTGTAGAAGATTATACCCGTAGGGTGAGAATTAGTCGACATATGACGTATATTTATTAGCGTATGGGTTACAAGTTGGCTTTTCAGCTTGCCAGAATGGGGAAACAAAAAAAGTGAAAATAGAAGACGTTAAGTCTAGTCTATTAGGTCGACGCTTCTCGTAGTCACTGATAGTAGACCTTCAACTGGTCTGCATTCCATGTATGCTTGATGCCTCGACCGTCGAGCTCTGCAAGTCGACATGACCCGTTTGTGACAACCTCTTTTATCCTGTAGGGCCCTTCCCAGGTCAGACCCAAGGCTCTGGAGTTCTTGGGTTTCGTGTTGGGGGTTACCACTCGCAAAACTAGGTCCCCGACCCTGAAGCGCTTCAGCTTGACCTTCTTGTTATAATATCTGGCCGTCCTTGCCTGGTATGCGGCGAGCCTTAACTGCGTGTTTGTGCGTCGTTCTTCTAAGAGGTCGAGCTCTAAGCTCATCAGTTCGGCGTTCCTATCCTCCTCGTACCGGGTTACCCGGTTGGTCGGAATGGACACCTCTACTGGCAGGACTGCTTTGAACCCATAGGCCATTAAGAATGGGGTTTCCCCTGTGGTGGTTCTACTAGTTGTTCGGTAGGCCCACAACACTTTTGGCAACTCGTCGGCCCACTTTCCTTTATAGGCATCGAGGTGTCGTTTGAGCGTGACCTTGATTATCTTGTTGACAGCCTCGACCTGCCCATTAGACTGGGGGTACACGACAGAGGAAAAATTCTTGTGGATCCCCAGCAGCTTGCAAAACTGGCTGGTGTTGTCGTTGTTGAACTGCTTTCCGTTGTCAGACACGAGAGAGTACGGGACACCGAACCTGCACACAATGTTGTTCCATATGAAGTTTGTGCATTTCGCTTCCGAGATGGCCGTTAATGGCTCGGCTTCGACCCACTTCGTGAAGTTGTCGACGATGACTATTGTTGTGAAAAATCGTAACGCAAGTATACGCTATCGCAATCAAGTAATATAATAGTGAATAAGAATATCGTCCCACGAGGATTGTTGTTTACTAATTACCGAAATTATATTAACC